GATTGGTGGGTTCCCTTCACACTATTGGGACCACGAAAGGCATGGACTTTTTCTTCTTGTTTAGCTAATGGTGCAGATAAGTTGCACATGTAATGCAACAATAATGAGCGGCCCAACTCTTGTCCTGATCCCCTACTTTGCATCCAAAATATACGTGGTATGCCTTTTTTTATCACGGGACATCATACTGCACTTTTGAGATGCGCATATAACTGTGCCACAAGTGTAGCAGAAGTTATCTGCATTGTTTACACAGTTTCGAGGCATCTTGGCTTCTGAGGAAAAATATCATGCAACTGTTCCTTGGAAATATTAAGCAATGACACTTTCACTTTTAGATGTAACTACATGATATGTAGATCTGACCAAGACAAATGTGCCTTGCAATAAAAGAACACTAAATTACAGTTAGGCAGCCAAGAAATTAAAAGACGCTTGCTCCTGGGGAGGAAAGCTATGGCAAATCTAGACAGCATACTAAAAAGCAGAGACATCCCTGCCAACAAAAGTGTGTATAGTCAAGGCCATGGTTTTCCCAGTTGCAATGTATGGATGTGAAAGTTGGACCATAAGAAAGACTGAGCGCCAAAGAATTGAGGCCTTTGAACTATGGTGCTGGAGAAGACTCCTGTGAGTCCCCTGGACTGCAAGGTGTTCAAACCAGTCAGTCCTGGAAGAGATCAACCCCGACTGCTCTTTAGAAGGCCAGATCCTGAAGTTGAAACTCAAATACTTTGGCCACCTAATGAGAAGGAAGGACTCACTGGAGAAGGGCCTAATGCTGGGAAAGATTGAGGGCAATAGAAGAAGAGGACGACAGAAAATGAGGTGGCTGGATGGAGTCACTGAAGCAGTAGGCATGAACTTAAATGGACTCCAGAAGATGGTAGAGGACAGGAAGACCTGGAGGAATGTTGTCCATGGGGTCGCGATGGGTCGGACATGACTTTGCAATTAACAACAACAACAAATAATCTTTAGTCTCAAAATGAAGATAAATCTATACACTTCCATGTGGTACCATTTTCCTTGTTCTACTGTAATTTGTCGAGAAGTTACAAGGCATCATGATCATTAGACACCTCCCTCCTTTGTAGGCAAATTTACTCGCCTGTATCATTACACTTTATCACCTGTTTTCTAATTCATCTAATCAAAATATGTAAGAATTAACACATTTTATCTCAGAGGTCAATAATTTCCCAAAATTTGTAGACCAGTACAAACTGATGCAGACTTACTCTACAATCCATCTATAAACATATGTATAGATCAACCTTTTTAATGCCGCGACCCCAACTGGTTGTAAGTCGAGGACTAAACCAGTCGTAAGTCGAGGACTAAACCGGTCGTAAGTCGAGGACTAAACCGGTCATAAGTCGAGGACTACCCAACCGGTCGTAAGTTGAGGACTTTCTCTGCCCAGGAGCGCCGCGCATGCATGGTTCCGCCCACTGCGCCACCCGAGGCATAGCTGGCAAGCGGCAGAGATGGAGCAGGCCAACCACCAGCTGGCCCAGCCCAAGGGAGGTAAGGCACCCGCCGGAAAAGGGGAAAAAATGGCGGACAAAAAAAATGGCGGACAGCCTTGCTTGGCGACCCCCATGAAATGGTCGATCGACCCCAAATGGGGTCCCGACCCACAGGTTGAGAACCACTGGTATAGATAGTCCTCAACTTATAACCACAGTTGGGACCAGAATTTCCATTGCTAAGCAAGGTGGTTGAGTTGCCCCTGATTTTATGATCCTTTTTGCCATGGTTGTTAGTGTGAATCACTGCAGTTGTTATGTGATTCACACAGTCATTAAGCAAATCCACTTTCCCCATTGACTTTGCTGGGAAAGTCGCAAATGAAAATCACATCATTCTGGGACACTTCAGCCATTGGTGAATATGTGCTGGTGGCCAAGCATCAGAATTTTGATCACAGTGGGGGGGGGGAGGAATCTGCAACAGTTGTAAGTGCGAGGACTAGTTGAAGTCAACTTTTCAGTGTTGTTGTAACTTCAAACAGTAGCTAAACAAATGGTTGTAATCAATGACTATTGAACGACCACTAATGAAGTCCTATAGTTCTTACTACCAATTCATTCTTTTCTCTTAAGCCCAGTCTTCTCTCTATTTTAGCTTTCAAAATAAAAAAAAATACATAAGAGAAATATAGCATGATCATCTTGTGGGAAGGATCAGATGCTTAAACAGGTTAAGTAACCCACCAAACTCTGCAAATCCTAACTCATTTTGTTCCTGAGCAACTGTTTAACCCCTGTTCCACATCATTTCTCCCTCCCTATATAGATGCTTAAAGTTCCTCCCATTCTCATGTATTCTGCCCAGCAAAAAGCCCATCTAAGTATTTTACACATCTAGCATCAAAGACCTATCCGCATTTAAAATTGTAATATGAGATTCAGAGGAGACAGGCTAGAGAAATAATTTGGGCCAAGAAAATTAAATGGAGGAAGACTTCTAGCCAATTGGCTAGAATTAAAGACTTCTAGACAACCATCCCCAGTAACTGGCCCCTAGCCCTACAGTCATCAGTTTGAGGATATAAACGTTTGCACAAATGCCTATGTTGTTCATTCGAAGTTCCAATATAGAAATATTCGTTTATTATGGGGAAAATTATTCTTATGTTTAGAAGGCATCTTACAGGCTTTGTGGATCAAAACAATATTTTTTTTCTCTCCAAATATTATTTTTCTCAAAAAATGGCTGAATTTTCCCCCACCAAATAATTTTACATTGTATCCAACTATAATGCTTAAGGGAATAAAACCGAATAAATAATGGAATTGAAGCATTTCTTCAAGCAGCAGCTTAATTGGATCAGACGATTAATGCCCTTTTTACTTGAGTGATTTAAAAGCAAAACAAGATTGCCAAATGTTATAATCCCCACTTTTATAGAAAGATATAGTGGCTGTCAAAACGTTGTTGAAATGGCCGTTTATTTTGCCTATAAAATACATAAAGATGCTTGCATTTATGGAATTGTGGGTTGCAAATGATGCACATGGATTTAGAGAGCTTTAAACTGGAGATGCAGGTTGACTTGGACTATGGAAGAAATAAAGATTGGCAGAAGAAAATAATACAGGAGACCACAGTTAAGATCAGGAACTGGACTGGGGTTGTATTGTGTTGACTGCATTTCTCCCTGGTAGGACAATATATCCTTGAGTCCATATACAGACATCTTAAGTTCAGACAGGTGGCAACTCTAATACCACTAAAAAAATTCCTCTGCTCATGCTCAGAGGTTTTTGGCCACGATTCTGGCTGGCTCAGCCCTTGGGTGGAAGGAAGAACCCTAGCCATTTTTCATTGCCCCCTCCACCTAGCCCCAGAAACAGCCCCTTTAGGGAATCACCCGCTGCGCTTCCAACTCAGAGCCAAGCTTTGCGCGTTTTGCAGAGTAGGGTAGGGAGGAAAGAGAAGCCGGGCACTGATTCGGATTTCTTCCACTTCTCCATTCTCGTTCTTACACGGGGCTTGAGCCATTGTGTAGTTCGGTCGCATGACTCACCGCTGCTCCACGAATGTCGCTCTTCGCCGTCTCCCGTCTCAGCTACGGGATCCCTTCAGCAGTAGCAGCAGCGGCAGGCGCCCAGAGCCACGGGGATCGGGCGGAAAGATTAGATCCCATTGCCGGTCTACCACCAATGTCCGCTGGAGGCCGCCGACAGCTGTGGACGGACTTTGCCGGGGGGACGAACGATCGCGGCGCGGAGCCCCCACAGCGCCCAGAAGAGGCAAGAAGGGGCGTCCCGGATGGGTGGTGGTGACAGCGGCCGCTAGGGGGCGGCGTGGAGCGCGGTCAGCTACTCGCCAGGCTCGCTCGGAGCTTTCGGCCACAACCTGAGACTCGTTCAGCGCCTGCCTCCCAATTTCTCGCCTGCCCAAGAGCCGTCGCTCGCTGCAACCGCCGCCGACGCCGCAGCTGGGCAAGACCGCAAAGGTGAAGTTTCTCAGAGAGCTACTCCAAGCGCGCCGCGACAGGGGCTGAAGGAGGAGAAGCAGGATTCGGGCAGAGGCAGGAGACGAGGCTTTCTCCTCGCTCGCTCGACCAGCCCGACCGCCGTCGTTCCTCTCACCGTGCTGTCGTGGGGCTCAAATCCGCGCGATTCGAGTGGGAAGCCCCGAGCTTCGCCAAGGTGCCGCCTGAAGGGAACTCCCATCCACGAGAGGGGGACAGGCGTCCCCCTCAGGAATTCCGGGCAGAGAACCACTGAAGAAAAGCAACCGAAGCAGCACTTACTCTTTCAACTGCGAGTACCCCGTCGGCTCTATCCAGGACGTTGCCGCGGTCAAGCACCTGAGTGCAGGTTGGTTACCGCAACCCAGTTCCGGTGACCGATACGGCGCACGAACCTGGCTGAGTTTGATCTGGCTGAGAGCTTCATTCAAGAGGGCACCGCCAAGGCATCTATCTACTTCTCCACTCTCACATCTGCAGAACAAAGCCTGGCTTCCTGCTGGTGTTGCCTGCAGACTTGGTGCTTATAAGACTGTGCTAGATAGCCTGTGCCATTCCAGAAGGAAGCCACCCTTCGCAAGACAGTTGACCAGCGACCACCCAAAACGTGCAATAAGCTGACCTTATCCTATCTCTTGTGCCAGTCTACGGGCATCATAAGAGAGTAGCGGCCAAACCAGTTGGGTCCCTTCCTTGTGTTTCAGTGTTTGTTCTGTGCCTCTCCTAAGACAATGTTTTAAATAATCAGATAAAGATTGTACAATCATCTGGATTTTATTTGTGCTATCTGGCAGTTACCCAAGGCAGTGACACAGAAAGGACCTCTCCAGACTCAGCTCCACTGATCTCCAACAACTGCCCATGCCAAGTGGAAGAGACCACCAGCGACTGTTTGCTCTGCTAATATTTGCCTATGTTGGGTCTCTTGCATGAAACAACAGAGTTTCCACACTGAAACCAGCCTTCGTTCTACTACTAACCACACAGAGTGTAAGTAAATCTCCTTCTCGTCAGGATGTCAGTTGTGCGAAGAAAGTTTGGGGATGACTATCAGGCAGTGGTGGCTGCACCATCGCATCGGAAACGGCAGCGCTTTGTAGACAAGAACGGACGCTGTAATGTCCAGCATGGCAACCTGGGCAGTGAGAACAGTCGCTACCTTTCCGACCTCTTCACCACCCTGGTGGACCTCAAGTGGCGTTGGAACCTTCTAATTTTCTTGCTGACCTACACTGTTGCTTGGCTGGTGATGGCCTCCATGTGGTGGGGAATTGCTTATTTGCGTGGGGACCTAGATATACACCAGGGCCCCAGTTCAGGACATAACCCATGTGTAGCTAATGTCTACAACTTTCCCTCAGCCTTCCTCTTCTTCATTGAGACAGAAGCCACCATTGGCTACGGTCATCGCTACATTACTGAGCGTTGCCCAGAAGGAATTGTGCTTTTTCTGTTCCAGTCACTGCTGGGCTCTGTGGTAGATGCCTTCCTCATCGGATGCATGTTCATCAAAATGTCCCAACCCAAGAAACGTGCTGAAACTCTAATGTTTAGCCGTGCTGCTGTCATCTCACAGCGAGATGGAAAACTCTGCCTTATGTTTCGGGTGGGCAACCTCCGCAACAGCCACATGGTCTCAGCCCAGATCCGTTGCAAACTCATTAAGGTGGGTGAAAGGATTCCCTGGAAGGGAGGGAGGCTCATGATGGTTAAGATTCTTGCTATCTTCTTGCATGCAGATCTTGGCATCTCTGCCAAGGCCTAACTTTAAGCTTCAGATTAGCTTCCTATTCTGAGGCTATCTATTTTTCCCTCTCTGCAAAGTAGGAACAAAGAGCTGTTGGAGAAGGCAAGCATATTTTATATATGATAGCTGGTGGCAAAGGAAAGCTGCTATATAAATAATACACAACAGTGGATATTAAACCGAGAATAAATGGGTTCTAAAAAAGATGCTGAAATAGACTTAGGGAATTGTAACAGGGTACAAGGATAATAAATGTTCACTGTTACTAAAATATATACTTTGTGATATTTGGTAAAAACATACACATTTCCAGATTTTGCTTTGTATATTTAATTTTGAGGATATAACTAGAGACTACAGATTTACAATTGTGGTCTTTTGCACTTATTAGGGAACTGTTTCCAATAACTTCATAGGATCAGGGCATATCTCAATTTCAATAACTTCAGCTTTTCACAACTTCAGCTTTAAAAACAAACAAACTTCAAAACCAAGCAAACATTCAGCTAGCAATAAAGTTAGAAAATGTCACTGAATTTTTGGAAGTTACATCTGAGCTACTATAAGTCATTAGTGAACTTTCCTATTGAGTATCAATTTTAATACACAAATAAAAATTAGGAGAAGAACATGCTAAGATTCCATCCCAAATGCCCTATGCTTTTGAGTTTTGATTGCATGATTTAAGCAAGGGCTTAGTCCAAAATGTTTATAAACCCAGTTCTGAAAGACAGAGAAAACATGCTAAATAGAAGAATGTCTTTAAGCACATGCAATATGCTTTTCCACTTTTCCCCTGCTGCCTTGGCTGGTGCCTACATATGTTCTGCAGTGCCAATACATGGTCAGTGCTTTCTGTTTTGACCCCACCAGTTGGAGAGAATAGATTCTAGGTCTTTCCTTTCCTGCAGGAGGCTGGTGCTACTGCCACAGCTGCCATCCCTGACAATCTGTTCAACATAGGAGCCCTCGCCCAAATCAATTTACACCCAGCCCACTCTCTTCCAGGTCAGAATCACTGTACAACTGCAGGAGCAAACAATATCCAGAACAGCAGCCAGGAGGAAAAAAATAACACTGAAAGTGCTGTGGGCAGAGAATCAAAGACAGTGGATACCTTTCTGTATTCTCTGGAATTGAATATTTCCTATCTATGAATACCTTCCAACCTCTGAAGGCAGGTCTGTCCTTGGCAATAAGGAATTCAAAATATACTTCCTCTTTGTCATAATTTCATGTAGCATGAAAGAAACAAGTTTCCTATCCGAACCTAAGACTAACATTAGACTGGGGGCTTTGGTGTAGAAATTTAGGCTTCCACACAATACCGTCTAAAGAAGAAAGTGTTAAACATCCAGAGTCTAAAACTATATCCAAGTCAGTCAATTACGAATCTACAGTACCTGAGAAATCAAATGAAGACAGCACTAGATTACCAAATAATACCCTTATGGCAGAACCTGTCAGACAGATCATTATCATAACAAGTTGTAGAGTAACTATTATTTATTTGTACAACAATGTAACAGCTCAGTGCAGTGCACTTCTTTCCACCAGAAAAGAAGAAAAGAACTAAAATAATTCCAATATTTGTAAGCAATTTATTGACCCCACAGAGAAGTAGGTTTAGAACAGCTGTTTTTGGAAAACAAAGAGGAATCCCCAGAGAAAGAAACAGAAAGAGCAAGAAAATCTGCAACTATATTGATTTAATCTTTTTCCTGCCCTATGCAATGCTGTTCATAGCAAACATGCATGCACATAGGAAATTATAATAGTCACCATTTCAGAAGCTAGCAAGACTTGAAATCTTCAGCAGGATGAGTTCCAATTAACCAAAATCAACTAGGTACAAATCATGCCTATCTCCATTTTGATTTTTATTATTTCCTCAGACAGCAACATAAATACTTCTTGTGTCTTATTTTCCTATAGTTTGGATCTCTCTTCCAACTTGTAAAGAGATGGTCTGTTTTCAAGCTTCTCACAGTTTTTACAACTGATATACAAGTGAGGTGTATGTGATAAATATAATGGTGGACAGTTATTGCTGAATGAAATTTTGTAGCATTACAGAAATGGCTGCTTTTGTTCTTATAATAATCTGGATGCACTTTCTGCTGCCTCAATATTTTTCAGAAAATCAAGCCCAGTACATGATGCTCCCAGATGAAAAAAAGACAGATATCATTTTAAAAGAAAGCATCTAAGTTGAGTGTTGAGTGTAATAAAAATAATCCTACTTAATGAAAGCATCAGTAGAAATGTTGACCTTTGACAATTCAAGTGAATTTAGGGGGTTTTTTAACGATAATAATATAACACTAATTACACTCTCAAGCTTTCAACTTGTGTGTAATATCTTTCCGGAGCCTAGTGCAAGCCAATAAATACTGAATTATGTCTTGAATGTTCTCTTTTACACAATCTTGAATACTCCTAAACCACAGTGACACTGAAGAATCTGGACATTAATACCCTTGCATAATATGAATAATCTAGAAACTCTCTGCACAAATTGTAATAATACATGGATATTTGACCCCCCTACACAAAAATTTAAGTATTCTTTCCCCCATAATTCTGTCATCAGAGTTCCTTACCTATAACATGATATGAGTAGTAGATTTACCACTACTTAGTAATAGAACTGGAATAGATGAAAACTAAGTGTAATGAATTTCTAATTAAGTCTGGGTCCAACCTGCTAAGTTCCTTCTCCCACAATTCTATTATAAGCGGCACTTTCCAGATTTACAGTACAGATAATCCTTGACTCGCAACCATTGTTTAGTGACTATTTGAAGTTGCAATGGCATTGAAAAAAGCAAACTTGCAACCAGTGCTTGCACTTATGACCATGGTAGCAACCCCATGATCACTTGATCAAAATTCAGGTGCTTGACAATGGAAATGCATTCACAAAGGTTTCAATATGTCAGTGTCATGTGATCGCCGTTTGCAACCTTCCCATCTGGCTTCCAATGAGCAAAATCTGTGGGAGAAGTTGGAGTCACTTAATGACCACATGATTCACTTAATGGTTGCAGTGATTTGCTTAAACAAGCATGGCAAAAAAAGTCGTAAAATTGGGTGCAACTCACTTCCCCACTATTTTGCCTTGCAATGGCAATTCTGGTCCCTACTGTGTTCAAATGTTGAGGGTTGTTACCTCTTACATATTCTAATAGGTCTTTATGGTTACCCATTTCTTGTTCATTGCAAGTTAATTGTAGACATACTAAATTTCATGATAAATCCTGTTGAACTACATGGGGTTCTTTCTTGATTTCTTTCTTTGTTTGTTTGTTCCTTTGAATCTGTCTTGATTCTTAGAGACGGCTGGACTAGTCCCTGCAGTTGTCCTGGAACAATTTTCATAAATGGTTTGCCCTTGCCTATGTTGTAGGGCTAAGAGAGAGTGACTGGCTTTAATATCTAAGGCAGAACTGGAACTCACACTCTCTCAGTTTCTACCCTGGTGCTTTAATCACTACACCAAACTGGCTCATCACTCTTCACTACACATGCATATATTTGTATTTTTAATAGTTACCTGTAATTAAGTCCTACTGAAAAACCAATAAGACCAGTTAGTGATGACAAGCCTTATTACTTTCAGTGGCAATAAACTGACCCTCTGTTTCAGTCCATAGTAATTTCTCATAAATTTTTGGTCATGAAATGTACCCCATAGAATAATAAATAGCATCCCACCATAAAAATAACTAAGGCATTTAATGGAATGCAAAGAAAACTGGCATTCTCAAAGCATTATGCTGGTCTACATCCTGTAATAAAAGAATGCCGATTATTATAAAGGGTAATGCTAATAATATTGTGTTATTGTTTATCTTTTTATTTTGACATACAAAATATGTGTAGCAATGTACAACATTTTTATCTCGTCCTTCCCCATGACAAGAATTATCTTGTCAGGGTCACACACCTCTCAAGTTGTGAAACTGAACATTGGTTTCTTTCTTTATTTCTTTTTTGCAAACTGAATCAGCCACACAAAACTCAGGATGAATTCCAAAGTCTGCTCTTATTGGAGGGTGGCATTTGAAGGAAATCTGCAGCTAGCCAGCCCTTGTTCCTCCTGGCAAGAACTGTTTCCTCCCCATCCTGCTGTAGCCATGGCACAAGAGTAGGAAGTGCCTCAAGCTGTCATTCGTGTTGGAACGAGTTGTTCTCTGACTTGTGGCCCTAGTCCAAACCAAGTGCTTTGACTATCAAATGCAATCCCTGGTGAGTGCCGGAGACTTTTGACAGCAGGCAGGTTGTGGCAGTTGGCACCAGCAGGCATCTCAGCACTTCCTAGAACTGGATTCCAATGGTGGCATTTGAAGGTCAAAAGCAAGATAAGGGGGTGCATTTCTTCCTTTCCAGCAATCTGAGCATTTCGGCTTTTAGAAGTCAAGTTTCTAGTTCTTAACATGCCAGAGTAAATGTCAGGATCAAGCTTCTAATACCCAGCATTCCAGAGTAAATGTAAAGATCTGGAATCTTTTCTCTCCTGTGTCTTTAACAGTTCTTAAGGGAAAGTTGAGGTCACGTAGGCATTCGTGTCAGTTGGATCAAGCTTAAGGTTCTGCTATGAAATATATTAGTTTTATTATGTCAGTTCTGGGAGTTGAAGTCCACGCTTCTTAAAATTGCCAAGTTTGAGAAGCAATGCTGTTGCTTATCTATCTCAAATAAGTGATTCTAAAAGAAAGTGAAATGCTGAAGTTCAAGCAAGACACATCTTTCAGCTAGCTCGAGCCTATCTTATATTTCAGATCTTGTAAAGAAATTACTTTGCAGATTAGGTAAATATCTGGGCTACAAAAAAACCCACATGGCCACCAATGATGGCCAATAACCCTGCTGATATTTAATGGCATTCTAGATTTCTGCAACCAGCTAAATAACAGTAGCTCTCTTCAGCGTATGCTCCACAACAGTACAGGGAAAATAAGAATTAATCATTTCAAATTTTGGACTTAAATGATTTTAGATAGTTTAGGATGAATTTAATGCTTTCTTTCAACCTCCCAATTCTGCATTTCCTAAATATGTAGAAACTCAGAGTTGTTCCTTCTTGTTCTGTTCGTATCTTGAAAAAGGTCTCAGGTTAGGCTTTCGATGGTCAGGTGTCAGAGAGCATTTTCCACTGAAATTCTTCAACCACTCTCCTGGAGAAGCTGAATCTTTCCAAAGAAGGCTACATTCATAAATTGCATTAAAACATAGGTTGTGGTTTTAATCAGAAATTGTAAAACAAAGCAGGCACATCTCGCATCTGTTCAGCAATCTTTTTTGCATTAGGATCAAAAAAGCAATACTGAGCAAGCTCCTGCCTATAGATTAGATGAGCTTCCAAGCTGTAAACTGTTCAAAAGATTGGCAAAACATTATTAGACAAGGCAACCAACAATAACAAAAAATGTTGTAAAAACAAGAAGGAATATCTGACTCTTAGGAGACATACGTTAGGTTCCAAAAATTAATATTTTCATCTGAAGGTCTGCTGGATTTGAAGGGGGTGCACCTAGTGCTATGCCATCCTCCTATGCATATTTACAAATAAGCAATATACCCTGATTCATAGCCAGAATGGCTGGGCTTACTCATTGCACCAAGTCACCAAAGCCAGACAGAAACACATTATGGCTTACTGTGATTGATTTTTGTACTCAGTGGAGTGGCAAAAAGGAGTTGGGGGTGGGTGGAGAGGGAGGGAACCCGAAGAAGAATTTTCCTTAGAAGCCTGAAAAATATCTCAGTGAAGCAAGAAAACCTATGAGGCCATCAAAATGCTCAAAAGGGGGTTCACACCACATATTAATCAGGAAATTATGTTAGCTTTAGCTTTGCAGTGTATTGCAAATCCAGCCATTATGGCTTATAATTGTAATGTATTGTCTGTGGATGTAGCCTGCTGTGGTTAATATGGAACAAATAGGGTTATTGGTTCTGGGTTATGAAAAAACAGACAATGATAGATAGCAGACATGGTTTCCAATAGGTGTCTGAATTTTTGTGGCACAAATGAGAGACTCAACAGTAATAAAAGCATAAAATTGTTTAGCATAAAATGTAAGCCCAGTCCTTTTATTTAAAATGATGAAAAAAGAACCTTTGGGTATGAAGCATTAGTTGCTCTGTTTGAAACTGTAATCATATCTACTCATTTCTGAATACAGATTAATTCAATCTTTCTTAACATACCATAGGCCTTCTCTGTGGGTGCCCCCACCCTCTGGAACGAACTACCCCCCGAGATCCGGACGATTCCGGATCTCCTTACTTTCCGCCGCGCCCTCAAGACATGGCTTTTCCACGTTCGCCCGGACCGGATCCCTCCTAAAATTTAGCCCAAATAAAATTCTTGTTAAAAATTTATCGTGTTGAAGTTTATAAACCAAAATTAACCAAAATAAACCTCCCCGACATTTATGCAAATACAAAAATTATACAACACTCGGCGGGACTCAGGGCAACCCTCTTCCCGCCCTATATTTAGTTTATTTTTAAATAAATAAATAAATAAAAACATGTATAAATTTGCTTTTGGTTTAGCAAGTTGTGGGACTCCAATCCATGTGGTCTGTATTACTGTGGTTTTTCTTTAATTTGTTATGTGAATTCAGGTAGTATGATTTATCTGTAAACCATGGTTGAGCAAAACATGTCTACTTGTCCAGGAGGGAAAGGATACTGCTGTGCTTGCCCTGTCACCCTAAACTTGATCAACAAAGAGGCTACTTCAACTGTCTCTGCAAAAAAGGCATTTTTCCAAGATCAGCCTGGAAATAAACTTTGCTTAGTCCTACAAATGAGCACAAAACATGCAAATGCTCAGTTTGTAATCCCATTTAAAATCCAGGATTTACAATCAAATGAACACATAAGTAATGCCATAACTCAGTTTTTCTCAACCTCAACAATTTCAGATGTGTGGACTTCAACTCTCATAATTCCCCAGACAGTGTGCTGGAATTCTGGGAGTTGAGGTCCACACATCTTAAAGTTGCTGCGGCTGAGAAGTACTGCTGTAACTGAATCTACCACCTCTTTGTCCTCTTGAGTTTCCCTAAGTTAGGGCTACCAGATCTGGGCTCATTTATTGAACCCTCAGAGGTAACCTACCCATTATTGGCCGTTCTGATCATGCCCTTCTGAGATCTCAGTCAGAAATTATTCAGTCAGCTAACTTGCTCTTGTTTTTAATGAGATGATGCAGAAGATCTTTTGTCAGCAAACCATGGGTATTGCTACTAAACTACAGTCCCCAACTGTTTTTATTGCCTTTAATTGTATTTAAGGCAGTGCTTTAAAGCTCATGCTGCTGGAAGTGGTTCATCTGAGGACAGGGTTGGGGTTGCCATCCTAAATGCCATCCTAAAGTCAATCATCTCAACTTTTCTGTTGCTAACTCTATCCTTACATGTAATGTCAACCTTCCCCCTTCACAAGAAAGGCACCCACCAGGATCCCAGTTAACAGATTCTTTCAAAACTGAAGAGAGGATAAACTGTCATGACCCACTCAGTTGAGGTCTGATGGGCTTGTAATTTCAGAAATGAATGTATCTAACTCACTTTTTTCCAACTTGAGGATCTTTATATATTTCTGGTATGTGGTATTGCTGGGAATTTTGAGCTGGGAATTTATTTGGAGGACATTTGAAGTTGGGAAGGCTGGAATAGATGTACAGATGGATCTTCTTTCAAAGCACTTGAATTAAATGATTTTGGAAACCATTATTTTTTAATCCTTGTAACAAATAAGGATGTAGATCACTGGGAACCAAATTAGGCAACTCACAGCAATGCCTGTTTATAAGTGATCTGCTTATCACTTATCACTTTACATCAAAAACATCACTCAAAGCCAAAATCACCAAACAGAGGCCGTCATACTTTGATCATGTCATGAGAGCTGATTCACTCTAAACATCAGCCATGCTGGGAGTGATTGGAGGACAAAGGAGAAGGGCCACCCCAGTACAGTACCTGCTGGCTGGACACTCTAAAACAGAGGGTCCCCAACCTTTTGGGCACCAGGGACCAGTTCCATGGAGAGAGGTTTTTCCGCAGACTGGAGGGTGCATGGTTTTGTGTGCTGCCTGCATCTCATGGATGGGGCTTTGCTTGTTTGTACGGCCCAGTTGCTGGCATGCTGCGGCCCAGTACCGGTCCACGGACCTGGGGTTGGGGACCCCTGCTCTAAAGGATGACACCAGGATGATCATGGCAGATCTGAAGGAGGTGGTGCAAGACTGAGGAGCATGGAAAGTGCTGATCCATAGAGTGGCTGAACATTGGACAGGACTGAATGGCTAACAATGATGACGATGCTGTGCCCTACCACTTGTGCTTGGAGGAATGGGTCCTGTCTTGGATTAGACTTCATGGAGAATATGATCCAAACTGCTAAGTAAACTGTGGAATGGGGCTGAGTTTAAATCTGTCCCAATAAACTCCATTTTGCCATTGAGTTTCACCTTAAAATCTCTCTCAGGTTAATTTTTATCAAACCTCTGCAGTCTGCAAAGTGCTCTGAATATTACTGAAAAGAGTTCTCTTCCTTTTGCTGCTGCAAAATTAGTTCTTAATTTGCTGAAATTATTTCTTTTTTATTCCATTTATCTTTAGTCACGACAGACACCAGAAGGTGAATTCTTGCCACTAGACCAATGCGAGCTTGATGTTGGATTTGGAACTGGGGCCGACCAACTGTTCCTCGTTTCTCCTCTAACCATCTGTCATGAAATCAGTGATAAGAGTCCTTTTTTTGCCCTCTCACAAAGATCCCTAAGGAGCGAGCAGTTTGAAATTGTCGTAATCCTTGAAGGCATTGTTGAAACTACGGGTAAGTGATACAATCAGGTGCCTATCAGTGTAAACTTAATATTGGGGTATTACTTCCAAGCATATTGCATTTTCTATTTATGATACCTTGTAAGTAAATGCAAGGTTATTGTGGATATGGAAAGAGGGAGACAAATGTAATGCTATGTGAGAATGAGAGACAGCAGGAAGAATGCAAACTAGATAACTGTCATGCAAAAGGTATCTTTTTGGGCTGCCACAGAAGCGTTTCAGAAGAGATTCCCCCTAGTTTTCTGGGAAGTAAAAGTAAAGGAGGAAAGAAATATTTTCAGACTTGCAAGTTTCTTTAAATGTAATCTTACAATAATGGTAGAGTTAGTACTCATAGTTGTGCTTCTTGTTTGGACTACCTCAAAGGGATGTCCACTTTACAATCATTTGTGTGTTAGGGCAGAGGTGAAATAGGAACTAGATTCTTAGCGTTTCTTAAACTCAAATCTGATGCACATCCCAAATAATTAATTTGTCAAGTGGGGAAGTATATAAGAAACATTCTTATTTCTTATTTCTTTTTTACTCTTACTATTTATTATTACATAGCTCAGTGGCTCAGTGAACATAGGGACATTTAGCCCAAGGCTATTCACATTAATAAGCAATGGTTCATTGGTATATCTGGAACGGAAATCTGCAAATGCCAGGTCAGCCCTGATAGCAATTCATAGTTAAGAGTCTTGGGTAGACCTTAAAGTTTGATTAATTAAATAAATCACAGTTCAGTTTAGTGTAGAGAACTATTATGTGAATACAATTTATATATTCTACCTACGAGCTAGTTAAGATTCTTCATTTGGATTCTAACATGCTTGGAAATCAGCCTTTGATCTTGGAAACTGTTTAGCATTATCTGTGACTATGATGATTTTTTCAGTATTGAAAAAGAAAACTATTGCCACCTACCCCCAAACAGTATTTTTTTATATGGAAGCTTTCACAAGCTTTAAGACATATCCTGTATTAGAAGTACATTCGTCTTAGTATTGAATTCTGGCTCAAATTTATCTCTCTTCCCACCCCTCTCCCCAATACAGCATGATGGAATATTTTGCTGATGAATAATTTCTCAATTATAAGATAGGGAATTCTAAGAGGAGAGAATTTGTACCTCAAAGTTAAACTGTGAGATGCTTGGTATTCTTTGAGCTTGGTGGCTTTCTTGCAGACACTTCATTACCAAACTAGGTAACATCATCAGTGATGATGTTGCCTTGTTTGGTAATGAAATGTCTGCATGAAAACTACGAAGCTCAGAGAGCACCAAGGACGCCACAATTGTAAATTAGCTGGACAAATGAATAAGAAAGAATTTAACGCCTTATTAAACCTTTAAACCAGCTACACTTGGAGGAACCTGCTTCATTGTGCATAATACTTTGATCAGCCCTAAGCATTTTTGATGCCAGCTGCCTGCTGTCCTGTATTGAGTCCCCCCTCTGTTCAGTCTTTAAAGATAAGTGGGATATGCAACCAATTCATTTGCAGTGAGCGAGTGAAATACTTTTAAAAAGTCAGAAAGGTGGTCATGTCTATGCAATGAACTCCCCCCCCCCTCTTTTACATGCCTTATGACAGGGATCTTCAAAATTGGCCCTTTTAGGACTTGTGGACTTCAGCTCCCAGAATTCCTCAGCCAGGCATGCTGGATGAGGAATTCTGGGTGTTGAAGTCCAAAAGTCATAAAAGGGCCAAGTTTGAAGATCCCTGCCTTATGACAAATGGATGCCCCTTCCCCACTTATCCTATGTTCACCATTTAAGAATAGTGGAGAACCTCTGTTCTTTGTGCTGAGTTCCAAGACTCAAATAACAAATACAGTTGTTACAGAAAGTTAGTTATGTGATCTGTAGCAAGGCCATTCTGATTTAGTGGCACATATTTAATGAAGCAACATTAGAAGTGTGGAGATGCTTTTTAAGTTCTGACATATTTACCATTGTTAAAATAGAGGGGACCTCTTGCCTTTGAAGGTAAGAAGGGGAAGAAACTCTCTTCCCACTGGGTTGTAAATTATTCCAGGGCTTAATCTGAGCCAGCTGTCTCCAGCTGCAGTACCTGCCTTCAAATTCTGCAAAATCTGTGCAGGAATTATTGCTCTTTGGAATGGCTCCTGTTAAAAGACAGAGTACCTCTAAAATGGGGGGGGATAGACACAGAAAAGCTCCTTTGCTGATTACTGTACATTCCCATTTTTTTTACTTATTACTCTCTTGGAAGCAAAACTGCTGGGAAAAGATTGCCTTTTCTATTATTGCATATTTTTGTCCTTGCTGGAGGATAAGATGTTCCCCTGTGAGAAGTTGTTCCTGGCAGCTGATGACTCAATGAGAGCCTTCATTAACCTGGTGCCCTCCAGATGGGTAGAAGGTCCATCACTCCTGTAATACTTCTAAACCAGAAGTTTTGGCCAGCTGCCTAGAAAGTAAGCAACTAGAAAAAGATATTGAGGCTCTAGAAAGAGATTGGACAACCATATGTCTGAAATGGAATAGGGTTTCCTGCTTGAGCAGAGCCCACATAGAGGGGATCAGGGTGGGGAAAGGAATTGGGGACTACTAGTGGTTCTTGATTAGCATTTTAGCATTTCCAGGATTTTACGCTAGAGTTATTATCATCTTCCAGTTGTAACCTTATGATTACAATCATTTTTTTGTTTTCAAATGCTTTCTTAGTGAACTTTGTCCTTAATGATAAAGGAGGGCAAGATAGAACAACTGCTCAATACTTTTCAA